CCTCAGTGGGCAGCACACCTTCTGGAACCGCGCACAAGTTACCCTGGACCTGCACGCTGGTCTTCAGGGAAGGCCTTCCTCGGTTGAGATCACCTCATCACAGACACACACACACACAGACAAGCCCTTTTGTCTTCCTCTGTGTTTATCTTGTTGTTCTTATTTGCCCTTCAGTTTTTCCCATTCAGAGTATTTTTGCTCTCAAAATATTCAGAATCCAGGAGCAAGTAAGTGAGAACTTCTCGCAGAATATAAGTGAATAGATAAATTAGGAGTTTGTGATTAACATATACACTGTACTATATATTAAATAGGTAAACAACAAGAACTGCTACATAGCACCAGAAACTATAGTCAGTATCTTGTTAATAACATATAATGGAAAAGAATCTGAAAAACAGTGTGTGTGTGTGTACACCTGAATCACTTTGCCGTACACTTGAAACTAACACACTGTTGTAAATTAGCTATACTTCAATTAAAAAAATAATGAAGTAGCTAAAGGAAGGAAATATACTGTTTCTAGTATAAGGTGAATATCAACAGCTTTAGATCTATCTAGGTTTCCCTGGTGGGTCAGACGGAAAAGAACTTGCCTGCTAATGCAGGAGACCTGGGCTTGTTCCCTGGGTCAGGAAGGTCCCCTGCAGAAGGGAAAGGCTACCCACTCTAGTTAATTCTTGCCTAGAAAATCCCATGGACAGAGGCGCCTGGAGGGCTTCAGTCCATGGGGTCACAAAGAGTTGGACACGACTGAGCGACTGACAAATGCAGAGCTATCTACCTGTGGGCTTGAAAAAAAGTCTATGTCTGTTGTGGTTGTAGTTTGAAATACGGCTGCTTTCTTGGGTAATAATAGGTAATCTTTGTTTTCTGGAAAAATCATGTAGCAGCACCTCCAGCCCACACCTCTGGGGTTGACACAGAAAGGGAACAGGTAAAAATGATGAGGGGAGGATGTGAACTTCCTTCCAGGGGCTAAAGGGGGAGTGAGCAAGCTTGGAGTGTATTTATTTGTGATCTCTCCTTTCCTAGCGATAAGATGTCAAATAATGACCTAGAAGACTATTTGACTTAGTAAAGAAAGGTTCTATTTGTCATTTCTTTGTTAACATTGTTTTTTAAAATAACCCTTAAGTGAAAATCTGATTAAAATGAACATGCTCTGAATTTTTCGATAACTCATAATTTATTTTAATCATGATGAGGTTGATGTTTAGGTAGTAATGTATCTGTTTCACCTCAGAGTGGAAACCTAGGATGTTTATTCTGTAAGTGGAAGGTCGAGGTCTGTGTATGGTGGACGAGTGGGTGTCTGAAACTTGTTCCCGCACTAAGGGATGGCTCTCCGTGTCCTGCTGTCCTGCCAAGACTTTGCAGTTGCCTTTATGAGCAACGTGTTTTTCTGCTTTTGTATCGTTTCGACACAGCCCCAAGATGATTGTTAGAAATTTCACCCTCAACCTTAATTACAGGTCCTTTATGTCATGCAGAATCGTACCTTTCCAAGCCTCACTGGTGAAATGAATTTAAAATGTTTGCTATATGTTTGCTTAAAACTTGCGGGAAACCAAGTGTGCTGGGATTATTAAAGCCAGTGTTACAGGATTTGTTTTGTATGTAAACGATGAGAAAATAACATGTGGTTTATTTGAGATATTGTTAGGATTGCATGGAGTATTATTTTGACAGTGTTTCTCTTGAAAAGGGAGACACAGTGGGCCTAGGACTTGTAGGTGTTAATCCCCGCACCGCCTTGGCAGCCAGGAGACTTCCTCGCCCTGGTAACAGCAGGACTGGCAGTATCTGGCACCTGGCTTGGAGCAGAGACTCTTGTGTTGGCAGCTTTCAAGTTAGTCAGGCCTGTCACCTACCCGCATGTTGGTAGATATTGTGGATGGTTTTGTGCCCTTCAATGCCATTTTTCTGCCATCAGTTTTGAAATTAATGGCTTATCCTTTTCCAAATACGAATTCATTATGTTAATCTCAAAAGAAAAAGGGTTTGCTTTCCAACAGTTCTTGATCATTATTTAACCGATAATGTGTTTTTTAAAGTGTATGTAAATATAGTTAGAACTCTAAAATCTATAATTGGGAGTTAATACATTGAAATGTGGAGGCTTTGAGCGTTTCTGTAGAAATGGTTAAAAAAAAAATCATGTTTAAAAAAAAATGAAAAGACAGGGGCTTCCCTCGTTTTTCAGTGGTTAAGACTCTGCTTCTAATGCAGGGATCACGGGTTCAATCCCGAGTTGGGGAGCTAAGATCCTACATGCCGTGGGGCACAGCCAAAAAAAAGAGAAAAAGCGTATGGCCTTTTTTTTTATATAATATTGGTCACAGTTAAGAAAAGATATTTTTTTCACAGGATGAATGATGCCAGAGATTTGATTTTACTGAAATTGTAGGAAAAAACACAATGGGAAATGATGGGCATGAAGTCGTTACTTTGAGAAATGGGAAACAATTTAGGTCTAAATGGTCAGAGAAGCAAGACAATAGTGGGAGAAAAGTAATAATCATAATAATAAAAGCAACAACAAAATTCCTAGGCAAAGGATTCTTAGAGCATGGATAGTCCATGGATTGTTAGCTTCAGTACCTTTCTGGAGGTCTTGTTGATAAGGATGGATCAGTGCTTGATAAACTGAGGGGATAAATTGAAAAATAAAATCGGACAAAATTACGAACGATATGTACCTTTCCAAAACTTGCCTCACAAAGCTAGGTTCCTTTCATAAGTGTGATACCCATTAGGTCCTTAATTCATTTCACCTGTGCATATTCCCACACAGTGTAGGTGTGAAGTACTGTGCCTGGCCATCATTTCCAAATACCCTGTTGTGGTTTGAAATCTTGATCTCTGAGAATGAGCCTTTCTCAGAAGGCTAATGTGGGGCCAAGTGTCATTTTTAAAATGAGCGCATGTGAAGCTGGTCCCCAGACTAATGATGAATGCCTGGAAATTAGCCATGTAATACACTTCAGTTGTTTGAGGCTGATGGTTGCATACTTAAATATTTGAATAATTAAAAGAGAGAAGATTGTAAATTATTGGAATTAACAATACTCAACTCTGTCACACGCCTTTGTGGTGCTTAGTCAAAGTTTGCGTGCTGTAATGTTATTGTTTTTGCTAAGTGTTTCGTCGTGAGTGCTGATCTTACAAAGCTCTGATAAATCTGTAAATATTCCATGTATGTACTTCATGTATTTATTTCTGGGAGCCCCGGGTCTTCGCTGCTGTGCACGGGCTGTCTCCCATTGCGGTGAGTGGGGTCTGCTCTCCAGCGCAGTGCCCGGGCTTCCCACGGTGGCGGCTCCAGTGGTTGGAGCCCTGGACCTAGTTTCTCTGCTGCTTGTGAAACCTTCCCGGATCAGGGACTGAACTTGGGTCCCCTGCATTGGCAGGTAGATTCTTTACCACTGAACTACCGGAGAAGTCTGAAGTGCTTTTACTTTTTTGTAGGACTTCCCTGGGATAGCTTAGACTTCTCTGGCCTCGGGCAGCGCATGAAGCTGCCAGTGCGGTTTCAGAGGAAACATACTTCTTCGCTGTCTTCTGGTGTTGGAGCCAGCCACACCAGGGAGTTCTCAGTCTGAATGGCCTTCTTTGGGCCAATTAGGTATTTATTGAAGTGTATCTTGGGATTAAAGATACATTATAGTCCTGAAGTAGGTTTGCCTGGTAAAGACAGTGGAAATTGAAGGGACTAATAACTAAAAACAGGAGCTTGCGTTCATTGGGATCGTACGAGAATGTACCAGTCTCCATGTTCTCTCTCTCTCCCCTCTGGGGACTATCCTGTACAACCTTTTCTTGCATGATGACTCCATATCTAAAACATCACTTTATTTGAGTAAAATATTAGATAATCTAGATTTGTTCTTTCTTTTAGTATGTTTTTATTTTTTTAAATAGACTTCATTTTTTTAGAGCAGCTTTAAGATCAAAGCAAAATTGAGTGGAAAGTACAGAGAGTTTTCATGTACTTTCTTCCCTGCTCCCACCCCAACCCTCCCTACTGTCGGCATCTCTCACCAGAGTGGTACATTTGTTACGATAGATGAACCTACTGTGACACCTGATAATCACCCAAAGTCCAGAGTTTACATTAGGGTTCACATTTGGTGTTATAAATGCCCTTTTAAAGAGGTGGGCATGCAGTATTATTGAGTATCAAGGGTTTGCGGTTTTTCCAGGGCCATCAGTGTCAGTGACTAGGTTCTCAATAAATACTTGATGAATATGTGAGCAATTACAAGTTCCTGATACAACACATGTAAAACATGTGTTTTGTGTTTCTTTTTCTCCTTAGGGTATATACCAAAAACCAAAATTGAAGACACAGTGTTACTAAAATAATTAACAATGATAGAAGAAGCTTCTGTTCTTTGAATGTTCTACCTGAATGGTCACTGGTATAGGCCAAAAGAAAAAAATTATATATAAAAGATACACCATATGAACACTAATCAAAGTCAAGCTGAAGTGGCAATATTATTATCAGACAAAACACTTCAGAGTGAAGGAAATTACTAGGGACAAAGAGATGCATTATGTATTATGATAAAAGGGCTTGATTCACAGAATGCAGCAATTTTAAATGTTACATGTAGCAGACTACAGCTTCAAAGCACACAAAGCCAAAACCAGGAGAATTCAAATAAGAAATTGACAGATCCCCAGTTACAGTTGAGGATGTCACCATCCCTCACTTAGTCATTGAAAGAACCACTCTCCAGAGAACTAGCAGATATATTGAAGAATTCAATGACAGCATCAACCAACAGGCTGTAATTGACGCTTACAGAAACCTCCATTCAACATCAGCAGAATATATATTTTATACATATGGAGATAAGCCATATCTATATTGGCATAGAAAGTGGGAAAATAGGTATATTTCATCTGATAATGTACCAATACAATAAAAGAAGCTTATCAGTTGGTTGTTACCCGTAATAACTTATCTCTTTGTTCACTTTATCTTATAGCTTCTCTGTTAAAAGGACTAAAACATGCTAACATAGTGCTACTTCATGACATCATCCACACCAAGGAGACACTGACACTTGTGTTTGAATATGTGGTGAGTAAGATGAGAATTCAGATTTTATAATTATGAACAAAATTCTTATAGTATTATCATAGAGTTTTGTCTTTAGGTAGCTATACTGAAGTTATTTTATCTGAGTACATGAGACTTTTGCATAATTTTGAATGGAATGCGTTTTAAAGAAAAATCAAGAAAAAATGTTCAGTTGAAGTGTCATTAGCTATATTATCTGTTATAACCTGTTTGTTACTAGTACACTTTCTAAATTTCAGGTTTATCAAGTAGTATAAAACAACATGATGGTGTTCACTCCATCAAAGGAAGTTCACAGACAACAAAAATGTTTTCTACTTTGGATTTATAACTTGGTTTCAGAAAAACATCCTTATTTGGGTGATTTTTTTAGAGAAAAGGCTGATACTTAACAATTTAGACTTCACAGTTTTTCCCCTTGGTTAGTATTTCAGCTATTAATTAAAACTTCCGATTTGCATAGCACACAGTGTAATGATCTTATTGTGTTGAGACTTGGGCTTGAACTCATAATTAATCTTTCTCCGTTTCTCTTAGAAAAGCATATGGTATTTGTGTAGAACCACTTCAGCATTTAACTGTGGAATCATGAAATGTAACCATGATAATTAACATCCCAATTTTCACAGATGGATCTGAGAACATGTAATTTATAAGATACAAATGACATTGGTGGAGACTTTTATTGAGAAGAGTAGCTGTTGGTATTGTGACTGTATTAAGATCCCATTTTGTAATTACCACACTACTTTAAAAAAAAATTGAAATAGTGTCCATTCCTTAAAAATGTATATAATAGAATGAATATTTACAACATTTTTATCTTGCTAATGTCTGCCTAAGTCTGTTTGTCATTTTAAAATTGTTGTCTTATGAAAAAGCCATTCATCTTGTCTATTTACATATAAATGATGGATACATTTGAATAATATGGTAATGTGGCTACAAGGACAGCTAGCACTGAGCAGTTGCATATATTACATGCTACCAAGAATGGATGCAGATTCAAACATCAATGCAAATATAATTTCTTTTGTTTAATTGATGATTTGGGGGTCAATAATATATTCAGCTGGTTTAAAATGGGAATTTTTGTTCCATATTTTCCAGTGTGTCTAGTTGCAGTATTTCAGTTAAATCCAATTTTTTTTCTTAGTATACTTCAGTAACTTATAAAAAGAGGTTTAAAAAATATACTTGTTCCATCCCCCCAAATTGGATAATTTAGTTGAGAAGAAGAAAAACTAGTTTGGTCCCTAAAATCAGTAACATGGATAGAGTAATGAACAAAAATAATGTGAAATTGGGTCTTTCAAATCCTAAAAGAAAATGAAATATATTTGTGAGGCTAAAAATATGCCCATTGAAGCACACTGTCATTTGATGCTTTTATATTCTGTGGAAATTGCCATATAAAAGGAAGTAAATGCACTGTCCTGCAGTATTTGTCAACTGATTATGACTGACTGTTAAAATCATTCTTCTTTGTGTGAGTGAAATTTTCCTTGGTTTCAGTTCTTATGGAGACATGCCAGGTCCTCTTCAATAAGTCACATAATAGGATGTACACATGCAGTACTCTGTGGGCATTTCATGCCTTTGAGAAATGGGATTTGCCTGCCATCTAGCAGCCATCAGACTGCAGCCATGCTCTGCAGTGAGCCCTCAGAAGGCTCAGGATGTGAAAAACACAGGAACCTGGCATGATTTCAGTGAGCGCTGACTCTTGCGTCATGCCATACTGGTGGCTCAGTGGCAAAGAATACACCTGCAATGCGGGAGACTTGGGTTCAATTCCTGGGTCTGGAAGATCCCCTGGAGGAGGAAATGGCAGCCCACTCCAATGTTCTTGCCTGGAAAATTCCACGGGCAGAAAAGCCTAGTGGGCTACAGTCCATGGGATCACAAAGATTCAGATACGACTCAGAGACTGAGCATATTATAATACATACATAGAAAAGCGCTGAACTCCTTAACTGGAGATGTCTGCTTTTCTTTAATTAACAATGGTCTTTTGATGTTCAGACTACCTGCCCCTTGTTGCAAAATTTCTATATAACCTGGCTCCTCCTTTCGCCTCTTTGAAGCAGTTATCAGGTTCACTTGAGATGCTGTCACCCAGGCTTGAAATCCAAAAAATTCCTGCCAAATGAAACATAGCTATCAACTTTTAGGCTATGAATGTGTTCCAAGTTGACACCTAACTCCTCTGGGGCAGCTAAGATGTAGATTTCCCTGTTCTCTTTTAGAGAATGGGCACACTCATGTCATTCATTTCTTATGACTGCCCTCCTTGCCTCTTCTCTAGTTCTCTGTTCCACCTTTACTTCTTTATATTCCCAGCGTTCTTTGCCTTTCTCTTCACTGCCTTTCTTTCTTTGTTATTTTCTATTCACTTCATCTCCTGTCCTTTTGCCCTCTCTGGTGAAGTTAGTACTTCTTGTTGCTACAACTGTAGTTTGGCTTTTGTTGATTCTAAGTAAAATGTTCCGTTGAATGTCTGAAATCAGCGTTGGGGAGCCTGGGACAGGGGTCAGGGAGGGGAAGAGCTCTGTGCTGTAGAAATTCCTCAGAAGAGTTTTCCAAGTTAGAGAAGGAAGGTGTAGACTCCTTGACAGTATTAACCTGACTCAGTGATAGTTGCCTAACACAGAAATAACTTCCTGAGTATTTCCTAAAGCTTTTGTTTTCTTACACTGTTTCTTCATTGCTTGCTTTTTTTTTTAACATATGCCAATGGAAAATTAAGATTCTTACATACTTTAATGAATTAATTTAATCAGATTGCTTTCCTCACAGTATCTAGCAGAAATAAATTCTCTTCTCTTGCATAGCAATGGAAAGGTGATAGAAATTTCAAAGCGTGGCTTGCCACAGGAATTAGAGCAGATCTGGTGGAGGGATATAGAGCAGGAGACAGGAGGGTGCTTGTAGATTTTAGATGACGAGTGAAGGGTCAGAAAGGGAGGTGAAATAATGTTTAAGACAAGTATGCCACAATACTGAAAACCAGCAATGAAAATGTAGTGAGTTTGATGCTGGCCACTGTGCTGCGGGTTTTACATTCATTTTCACTTTTGATGTTCTCAATAGTCGTATGGATCTGTGACTACTGCCACTTTGCAAAGGAGAAACCTAAGGATTTGGGAGATGAAATGCTTTTTAGGATTTTGCAGCATGAAAGATAGACTCAGATCCATCTCACTTTGAATCCTAGTGGCAATGTTGTATCTCCTGTTTATGTTCCACTTCACTTAGGTTGAACCTTTTGTCAAAAGGAAGAAAGGAAACTTTCTTTTTTCTTTCCACAACTCTTCCTTTTTCTGCACTTAAGATATAGCTGTATTTAAATCCCAAATATGGTTAAACTGCTTTACAGTTTAAATAAGTCTTGTAGACTCACTGAAAACCCAACCCATTTAAAATTTTAATTATGAAATGTTTTATGTCTCCAAAAGGCAAACTTTTAAGTTACGTGTACATACCTGATGTGTTTCACTGGGATCTACTTAATACATACACACAGTCTTGTTATTTAGCAAGACCTTAATCAATACCGGGGCTTCCCTAGTGGCTCAGAGGGCAAAGCACCTGCCTGCAATGCGGGAGACAAGAGTTTGATCCCTGGGTCGGGAAGATCCCCCAGAGAAGGAAATGGCAACCCACTCCAGTATTCGTGCCCGGAGAATCCCATAGACGGAGGAGCCTGGTAGGCTACAGTCCACGGGGTCACAAAGAGTTGGACATGACTGAGCGACTTCACTTTCAAATCAAGATCAGGCTTCCCTTGTGCCTCAGCTGGTAAAGAACCTGCCTGCAATGCGGGAGACCTAAGTTCGATCCCTGGGTTGGGAAGATCCCCTAGAGAAGGGAAAGGCTACCCACTCCAATTTTCTGGCCTGGAGAGTTCCAGGACTATTTAGTCCATGGGGACACAAAGAGTTGGACACAACTGAGTGACTTTCACTTTCCCCTGATATCTCAGTTGGTCAGGAATCTGCCTGCAATGCAGGAGACCCCAGTTTGATTCCTGGGTGGGAAGATCCCCTGGAGAAAGGATAGGCTACCGACCCCAGTATTCTTGGGCTTCGCTTGTGGCTCAGCTGGTAAAGAATCCGCCTGCAATATGGGAGACCTGGGTTCAGTCCCTGGGTTGGGAAGATCCCATGGAGAAGGGAAAGGCTCCCTACTCCAGTATTCTGGCCTGGAGAATTCCATGGACTGTATAATCCATGGGGTCATAAAGAGTCAGAGACGACTGAGTGACTTTCACTTTCAAAATCAATATCAAACATTTTAATCTGCACTTTCCCAAACTTAATGATGACATAGCCACATTTAAAAATTGTTAACATCAAAGTTATTTTCTAAAAGATGTTGATTTTGTAGTTCCATGTAATTAACAGTATCTTTTTTGAGGGATTAGACCAAGTATGTTAAACAGTGTAAGAAAATCCACACCTCATACCATTAAAACCTAGATATGCAGGGAAAGTAACATAATTTAAGATTTGTTCGTTATTATTGGGTCTTTCCTTTGGACTTTATTAACTAAGTTATCAAGGGTTTTTTGGAGGTACCTATGGAATTTGTTCCACAGTTGTTAAAGATTCTTACTTATGATAGTGTACACACTGTATCTAGTTCTGTTTTTGTGCTTTTAAAAAAGAGCTCTAAGCCTGGCTGCTTTATATTAAAAGGCCCATGAATGACATTTTAGGTTGCAATAAAGTCTGCTGAAGGCCAGAATAATTAAATAAGTGATGAAAAGTTAGGGATGTGAAAGAATATTCGAGGAAATGACTTTGGAGGTCACTGTTAATGTGATTCTGGGACTTCCCTGGTGGTCCAGTAGTTAACACTCTGCCTTCCAATGCAGGGGCTGTGGGTTCGATCCCTGGTAGGGGAGCTGAGGTCCCACATGCCTTGAGCCCAAAAAAACCACAGCTCAAACTAAGAAGCAATATTGTAACAAATTTAGTAAAGGCAGAATCACTGCA